ATGTGAAACTGATGAGGTGCTCTGCAAACCTTCACTTCATTCATAATAAACAGCTAAAAAAGTGTTTCAGCATCTTCTTTTAAGATGCAACATTTGGAATGCTCCTACAGTCTGATGAGCCTCCCTTTCTAGACACCAGAAAATCTCTGCACACAATTTAAAGATAAATATCATCAATTCTGAAATACCAGCCATGTATCAATGTTGTATCTACAGTGGGAAAAGCACCCCAGCAGGTCCAGCTGAAAGTACTGTCCTAGTTGCCAATTCTGTAGTGTCCCTGCGCTGGTGGCCACAATCAAAATGTAATACTTCTTTTTCTAAAAACAAATATTTTCTTTGTCAATTGTTCTTACATTCTCATATAAGAAGTAAAGTCAAATTTATGCATTTAGCAAATAAATTCAAAAGGTCCTTTCCTCCCTTCCGCATCTCTGAGCCTAGCATACCTTGGAGATCAACATGTGTCTTAGCAACTGTCTCCTCCTGAGTCTAAGATGTTCCCAACCCAGGGACCCTAGGTCCAAATGACACATTCTACCCTTGGTTCTTCTTTCTTCATATTCATCTCCTCTCCGCCCACTTGTTTCATCTCTTTTAGATCTCAAGAGAGATTGACTCAAGATACCACCAAATCCTGCAGATGGCATTCTGCCCATTAACGTAACTGCCGCATTAACATCACAGAGTTAAGGGTGTGGCACTGCAGAATAGTATGCTGGACCGCAAGGTCATTTGAACTGTAAGGTCAGTGGTTCAAACCCAGCAGCCACTCCTTGGAAATTCTATACCGGGTTGCTATGGGATGGATACAACTCATCAGCACTTAACAACAACATCATAGAGGTTAGGAGTTATAACACATAGCATAATTATATCAGAAATCAAAATGGGATATAATGACAACATCATACTGAGAATCATGGCCTAGCCAAGTTGCCACACATTTAGGACAGAGGGGGGCACATTTAAACCATAACACATAAGAATTACAATGGATTGTTGTTGCTGTTAAATGCCCTTGAGTCGATTCTGACTCACAGCAACCATTCTGCACAACAGAATGAAACACTGCCGCGTCCTGTACTGTCCTCACAGGGGTCTCACTGGAGCCCACTGCTGCTGCCACTGTGCTAGTACACCTCGTTGGTGGGGTTCCTGTTTGTCGCTGACGCTCCACTTTACCAGGCGTAATGGCCTTCTCCAAGGACTGCTCCCTCTTGATGATAGATCAGTTGTTGTTATTAAGTGCTGAGCCTGTTTAGGATTTCCAAAAAGCATCTGATTGATTTGAACCACCAACACTGTGGCTAAGTGTCCAGTCTTTATCCTACAGTGCCACACTGAGACTTAACATACAAAACCACTGCGATCAAATTAGTTACGATTTGTCGTGACCCTGTCTGTATTGGGTTTCTGAGGCTGTAAAGCTGTATGGGAGCAGACAGCCTCATCTACCCCCTCAGAGCAACTCAGTGGTTTGAATTGTCAACTTGGTAGTTAGAAGTCAGTTCTTTATCTTACAGCACCACCAGGGTCTTTAGATATATGATGTCATTAAGTACTGTCATGTCAGTTCCAATTCACAGCGACCGATCTGTGTAAGGTTTCTGAGGCTGTAAATCTTTTGTGAGAACAGAAAGCCTTATCTTTCTCCTGAGGAGCAGCTGGGGGCTTGACCTGCCAACTTTGTGGTTTGCAGTCCAACTTTATCCTAAAGAACCATCACCCTCCCAATAGATGTACATGATTATTGTGTTATTAGGTACCAGGGCCTGTGCCTGGTACTCAATTCTTACCACACTTGAGCCCATTCATTGCTGCAGCTACTCTGACAGGCCCTCTCATTGCAGAGCTTCCTCTTTTTTGCTCATCCTCCATGTCCACAGTATGATGTCCTTCTCCAGAAACGGGACCCTCCTGATAATATAGCTGAAGTATTAGAGCCCAAGTCTGGCCTCTTGGCTTCTAGGAAACATTCTGGCTGCCCTGACCCAGTGGAATTTCACAACTGGTCTAATTCTCACTCACTCCGTGAATAAGAGGAATGCGGTCATTTGTTTCCCATTCAGTTGTAGAAAAGAGCAAGAAATTCAGGAGTTCCCAATCCCAGAGACATTGCTCATTGGCCATGTTACCAGGACTAAATTGGGTTCACTCTCTTCACCTCACTTTTCTTGTCTGCAAAATTCCCATATTGTGTCAATGTGTGTGACTATGAACTGGGATAACTATGAACCCAGTTAGCACAATGCCAGATACATAGGGAGTGGCTGAGAAATGCTAATTAGTAAATGCTGCCTTAGATAGATTTCTCTCTCACTTAACAGAATTTGTAAGTTTCTGGTAACCCCTAGCAATAGTTATAGCGCAACAAAGGAGAATTACTTCAACTTCTTTTTACCTAGGTGAATCTTATGGTTGTTGTTAAGTGCTATCATGTCAGTTCCGACCTACAGCAACCCTGTATAGGATTTCCAAGGAGCAGTGGGTCTGAACTGCCACCCTTGTAGTTCAAATTGAACTTGCAGTCCAGTGTGTTGTCCTGCAGTACCACAGGGGAACATAAATTAGCATTAATGTTTATAACAGAGAGAGGTAAAGTCTTAAAGCAGATGGGAAGTAGTAGATTCTTCTAAAGAAGGATTCAAACCTTGAATAAAATGGCCTGTCCATCCTGTTAGTTTGGGCTTCCTCACACTATGGCAGGATCAGAAGACAGACTCACACGATTGTTTAGATAGAACAAGACAAAAATAGAAAAAACTTCTTTAAAGGCCATTTTGGGAATAAACACAATGTCCTATCAACCATCCTTCCTGGGTCAATACGATTACCAGACAAGTCAGATGTAATGTAAATGCCCAAATTCTCAGTGTAGTCTTGAAAAAGAACTTACAGACAGCACTGATCCTCCACAGAAATAGTATTTAATCCTCCTCCTGATGCAATTTCAAGGCACCCCAGTGGCACAATGGTTAAAGCACTCAGCTGCAAACCAAAAGGCCACCAGCTCAAGCCGCCTGTGGGAAAAAGATGTGGCAGCCTTCTTCCATCGCGGTTTGTTGTTGTTAAGGACCGTAGAGTCGGTTCCCACTCATAGCAACCCTGTACAGGGTTTCTGAGGCTGTAAATCTTTTCAGGCACAGAAAGCCTCATCTTTCTTCCGTGGAACAGCTGGTAGTTTCGAACTTCTGACCTTGATGTTAGCAGCCCAATTCATAACCACTATGCTACCAGAGCTCTTTGATATATGTGTGTACATGTGTGTACATGTGTGTATTTACCAAATGATGACATAATGATAGGACAACTGATGACACTTTGGAAAATATGGTCATAACCCTACTTGCGTATGTTGTTAAGTACCGTGGAGTCAGTTCCAACTCATAGTGACCCTGCACGGAGTTTCCGAGGCTGCAAATCTTAGGAACCGCTGGCAGTTTTCAACTGCTGACCTTGAGGTTAGCAACCCGATTCATAAACACTATGCTACCAGAGCTCCTTGCATATAGACAAAAGAATTTCCCTAGATGAAATACTGACTTAAATGTTTGTTTGTTTAATTTCTCAGTCTTTAGAACTGGGATCAGTTGTTTTCAGCAGTTGCTACGAGTCTAAAACAACTTCGTAAATCAACACTTAACAGCAAGTAACAAAAGAATCTAAACAGCATGAGGCTTTCTGTGTGGTGTACTGAGTATTGGATCCACTTAGGTAAAGATGTCGGGTAGCTCCCTGTAGGGAATTTCCTATGACAATTTGCTCAACGTAGACGATTAGGGACAACTCAGAGATTATCAAAAGCATTTCCTGGATGCTGGCAGAAGACACAAGACTCCGGAGTCAGAGACCAAGGATTTTATTACTAACTGCACAGTAGGCATCGTGAGTCCCACATGCCCATCAGTGCAGGCGATGTGGACCAGCCCAGGTGGATGTTGTTGTTGTCGTCAAGTGCAGCAGCATCCGTTCTGACTCATAGCAACCCTCTATAGGGTTTCCAAGGAACAGGTTGTGGGTTTGAACTGTCCACCTTGTGGTTTGCAGTCCAGAGGTGATCCTGCAGCACCAATCCAGGAGTCCAGTCTGGGTGGCTACTACACAGTAAACCAGTAGGTTATTGTCACAGCTCAGGTGGCTGATGGTTGGAAATTCCCAGCGTTATAAAGCGTCTGCTAGCAAACCTGCCCCAGCTTTGTTTTGAGGGAAGATGTTATCTTCCTTGTCCTGGCCAGCAAATAAATCTGATCTGCCCTCCTTCATTTCATGGTTCATGACATGCCTGACACAGGATGTGTCCTTAATATTTGATAAATGGCTGTGGTGAATACACGAGGACTGGCTTCCCTTAAATATCTAAAATGCACGAAGAAAAGATTCAGATTTTTCACAAAGACCCTGAGGAAATTCTTAGCCATGGAAATGCAGACAAAGGGGTTGTGTTGGGACAATAGGTAAGGATAGGACTGCTAACAGGACGGTCAGTGGTTTGAACCCAACAGTCCCTCTGCAAGAGCAGGATGATGCATCCCGCTTCCATAAAGATGGTCAGCTGTGAAGACCCTGGGGAGCAGTTCTGCTCTGCCTACAGGGTCACATGGAGTCAAAATCAACTCATCAGCACTGGGTAGGTGGGTAGGATATGATGGGTTTTGCTTGTACGTTGAACAGCATTCCCCTGGAAATAAAGTGTTGTGAAGTGCCATCGAGTCGGCTCCGACCCATAGCGACCCTGTATAGGGTTTCCAAGGAGCAGCTGGTGAGCTTGAAACATTTTACGGGCTCCTCCTTATTAACTAATGAGTTAAATTGTTTGCATGTGTTCATTTCCTATGGCGATGAATCATGATTTTATTCATTTTTAATAACTATAAGCAGGATCATGCAATTATCTATAACACATTCTGTTTGTCATATTTAATCTTCAACGTGTCAAAGGGAAATTTTCAGCTTTGGATCTTAAGTGAAGCCTAAGGTACTTTTTCTTTCCCTTTCAGCTTCAGACGAGCTTGACTGACCCCATGACGTTATCCAAATCCATCTCTCTCCCTCGAAGTGCGTACTGGCACCACATCACGCGCCAGAACAGCGTCGGAGAAATCTACAGCTTACAAGGCAAGTGATTTCCACACAGTGTGGCGCCTCTGCTCACACCCCTCCTGTTGACCAGGGTTCGGACGAATGTGCCTGTTTTGTCTCCATTTCAGTTTGTCAGCTGTCACGGGCCACAGTGGGAACCTGAGGTTTTAGAGTGACGTTTTGAAAGCTCTCGTTTCATAGACAAATGGTAGGAAATGTTTCCAGAAACCGTCGCGTGGGTTGGGAATGCGGTTTAGCTCAGGAACTTGAGGGAAACGGGATACAAAGACATCATCAGAAGCTAAAAGCAGCTGATGGCAGGGTCTGTTTCAGGCTGCGGTTTACAGACGATCTCTTTCTTAACACCTTTTTCTTCCTCTTCAAACTATGGGGATCCGTTCAGAAAGGAGCTCCACTGCTAACAGGAAGGTGGGCAGTGGGAACCCATTAGAAAGATGTGGCTGGCTGCGTCTGCTGCTGTGAAGATGATTCTAAATCCTCAGGGTTTCCAAAGCTGCCATCTGTATGGACGTACACTGCCAAATCTTCCTCCTGTGGAGCGGCTCGTGGGTTTGAACCGCTGATCTTTCAGTGAGCTGCCGAGCACTGAACCACTGCACCACTAGGGCCCCTTTTTCCCATAAAAAGCACAGTTTGGAACCACTCTGGGGACACTGTGATCTGCCCGATGAATCGGAATCAACTCAACAACATGAAACAACAGCTTCAGTATCAGTGCAGGAGGCTAATTGGGGGGGCTCTGTTATCAAAACCTACAGTGGTTTTCAGGCCTACCCTCAACCTTGACTTATAAACCATTTGGGAGGGCAGGAAATGCCAGGTAGAACTACGTTAACAAACAAACAAACAAATCACTGCCTCCGAGTTGATTCCAAGTCAGAGAGACCTCATGGGACCGAGGATCGCTATTCCTTAGGGTTTCTAGACTAAACCTTTATGCACATAGACAGTCTCATAGTCCCTGCCATGGAGCGATGGGTGGGTTTGTAAGCATCCTCAGGGCTTTGGGATTGGTTCTCCTAATGACACGTGGTCAGTTCACCAGCATTGGGCTTTGCGCTCCAGCAGTAGCACCTCTGCTTTGGGGTTCTCTTTCTCCTCCTTCCCAATTGCTCCAAAATGAGTCTTTTTTTTTTTTCAAATAAGATTTACCAGCTGCAATCAGTGGAGTAACAGCTGGCCAAGAGTAGAGAAAGCCGGAATCTAAATAAGGCTAATCAAACACAGCTGAGCGCACCAAGGACCCCACCCACCCCAAACATACATTTATTTAGCGCCATAGGTTTGAATGAAATGTAGTAAGTGTCATCCAGTCCGTTCTGACTCTTAGTGACCCTCTTTATAGGTTTCTGAGGAGCAGCAGGTAGGTTTGAACCACTGACCTTGCAGTCAGCAGTTCAGCACTTACCCTACACAAAAACACTCAGGAATACATAATAATTTAAACAACCTAAAGGCACATTCTGCAAGCCTGCCTCCTGGCCGCCCACACTTAGTATTGTTTTTCCATGAATTTTTTGAAGTTCCCTCATAGCTGATAAGTGAATGGTCACTTATGAGGAATAATTATTTTTCCTTCCACATTGTACTTTTGGCTTATATTAACACTAAAACATTCATTACAAGTGAACTGAAATTGTGGGAGTTTTTTTAAAGCAATGTTGGTTCACCAGGGTGACAGACCTCAACTAAAGGGCATTTAATGGATGGCAGTTACTGTGTGAGAAGTCCAGGTGTGTCTGTCACTGTACAATAAGCACTGGATGGCTAGCCTCAAGGTCGGTAGTTCAAACCCACCAGCTGCTCTTTGAAAACCCTCCCACAGGGTTGCTATGCCTTGGAACCGACTCGACGGGCACTTTACAACAATTACTGTTTGAGGACATATTCTGCATGCAAAAGCAGAATAATGTTAGTCACTTACTGAACACATTTGCATTCTAGATAATAAATGATTATCTTAGGGGAAAAAAAGGTCCTGGTGTGATGCTTAGGGTAAGCACTGGACTGCTAACTTCAAAGTCAACAGCAACTCTTGGGAAGCATATGCAGGAGCATTATGAGTCAGAACGGATTTGATGGCATACAGCAACAACAGGCAAGCAAGCAGCCCTGGTGGCACATCTGTTAAACTGCTAATTAAAAGGTCAGCAGTTCAAACCCACCCACCAACCGCTCTGCAGGACAAAGCAGTCACAGTGTGTTGACGTGAAGATCACAGAACAGTGTATGGTTTCCACATCCATGTGTTTTGTTTTATTGTTTTTTTGTTTCAGGAGGGTGATTGATTGTTGTTTCTGTGTAACAAAGTATCTTATGCTTTAAAGTACTTGCTGTGAGTCAAATATGAAATATTATTCAATGTAAATATAGACTATACTGTGGTGTTTTTTTTTTTTATTCTTAGAGCCATACATTTAGCCTTTTTTGGACTCTCCTCATAGGACTCCTGGGTATAACAATTTAGGATCAGCACTAGACTTCAAACCACAAGGTCAGCAGTTCAAACCCACCAGCTGCTCCTCAGAAACCCTATGCAGGGTCCCTATGAGTCAAAACCAACTCAACAGCACTTAACAACAACACTACACTCTTAAAATAATACATAGCATGTAGTTGTTTCAGCTGCCTTTTAGTCAGCCCCATGCACAATGAAGTTGTCAAGGACTTCGTTCTTCTTGGATCAACCATCAACACTCATGGAAGCAGCAACCAAGAAATCAAAGGACGTATTGCATTAGGCAAATCTGCTGCACAAGACCTTTTTAAGTGTTGAAGAGCAAAGATGTCAGCTTGAGGACTAAGGTGCACCTGACCCAAGCCATGGTATTTTCAATAACCTCATATGCATGTGAAAGCTGGACAGTGAATAAGGAAGACGGTAGAAGAATTGATGCTTTTGAGTTATGGTGTTGGAGGAGAGTATTGAAAGTGCCATGGGCTGCCAAAAGAACCAACAGGTCTATGTTGAAAGAAGTGCAGCCAGAGTGCTCCATGGAGGCCAGGATGGCCAAACTTCATCTCTCATACATCGGACATATTGTCAGGAGGGACCAGTCTCAGGAGAAGGATATCATGTTGGTAGGGCGGAGGGTCAGAGAAAAAGAGGAAGACCCCTAGAAAGATGGATTGGCAAAGTGGCAGCATCAATGGGCTCAAGCGTGGCAACAGTAGTGAGGTTGGCCCAGGACCGGGCAGTGTTTCATTCTGCTGGGCATAAGGTCGCTATGAGTCAGTACCGACTCAATGGCACCTAACAACATTCTCAACGTAGCAAGATGTTACCCAGCCCCGTGTTACCTCCCTGACCGAATGTAGACTGGATTGTTGTGCTCCTAAGTGTTTTCACTGACAGATTTTCAGAAGCAGGTCACCAAACCTCTCTTCCTAGTTCATCTGAGTCTGGAAACCCCTCTGAAATGTGTTCCCCATCATAGCAACACACAAGCCTGCACGGACAGATGGGAGCTCTGTGTGAGGCGTGCTGGCTGGAAATCAAACCCGGTTCTAGCATGGGGAAAGCAAGACTCCTACCACAGAATCCTAATGCCTCCCATATGTCAGGGGCGGACGGATGGGTGGATAAAGACATACTGAGAATACTTGTTAATGATACTTTTATACTAGTAACTTTGTTTTTTGTCCTTGTGGTGATCAAATAGGAAGCCTTTTGACAATTGTTCTTTGGGGGGCACGCGCCTTCATGGCATCAGAGCTGAGTGTTGTTGTGTGCCGTAGAGTTGCTTCCGACCCTTAGCAACACTGCCTAGGGGTTGTGAGTCGCAGCTGGTGAGTTTGAGGCAGCTCATTAACCCACAGCACCACACCCGGACTCAGAGTAGAACTATTGAAACAGAAAGAATAGAAATAGGACCCGGGAGTCTGTGCATTCATAGGGCACAGCTGTGTGTGTTCACTACACTGCATTTGAAAGTGTCCTGATTTTGCACCTCACTTCCTCAGTTCTGCTCCTGGAAGTGGCATCGAGTCTTCCTTACAAAGAGGAAAATGTCGGCCCAACAACTCTCCCACTGATCTCACAGAGGCAATGTCAAAACCTGGGTGGATAGAGAGTGTTACATCATCAAATAAACCACAGGCAGCGGTGAGGGATAAAAATAGAGCTGTAGAATTTCCTCATCATATTGTTTTTGCATTCCAACTATAAAACTGAGATCGATATGAGTTTCATTTAACGGGCTTTCCTTCTGAAGAGAGAAGCGGGAAAAGTTGTATAGACTTCAACTTCAATCGGTTGGGAGTCATTAATAAGCGGCACATGTTCTGAAATCACAGAATCATTTATGGTGTGAAACCAAATCCAATCTCTATTAAGACCTGCCTCTAACTTCAGTTCTCTGCCAGCCCTCAGAGCTCAGCTGGTAGTTCAATTTCACTGTGCTCATTTCTGTCATTTCCTGCTACAACTATAGAGCTATGATGCACGCTGAAGAACTGAGTTATCAATACTGAGATCCTCCAGGGAGAACAAGTAGACCCCTGCCCCTCACAGAAAGCTGTTCTAAATGTAGACGTTATTGTGGTTTTGCTATCACACCCTCCCCTCCCCCTCTCTGGGACCCAAAGAATGAGAGGAATAATTACCTTACAACACGTTGTTAGGTATGTACTAGGAAGGTACTGTGAAACTCCTACCACCAAAAGGCTTGTAAGGTGCCATTGTGTTACAAACGGTTAAGCATTCAGCTGTAAAAGGTTGATGGTTCAAACCCACCCAACAGCACCAAAGGAGAAAGCCCCTACTCAGCTGTTTTGTGAAAGAAATACCTGATGACCTGTCCCCATCCGGATGACAGCCTAGGACACCTATGGGACAGACAGTTCTATTACATGGGGTCACTATGAATTGGAACTGACTTGAGGATACCCAACAACAACAAATGACATGTCCCCTCTTAAGTTGTTATTGTTATGTGCCATCGAGTTGGTTCCAACTCATAGTGACCCTGTATAGGGTTTTCAAGGACCGGCTAGTGGGCTTCAACGACCAAACT